CATGGTCTAAAACCTAAAATTCAATCATCTGATAACAAATTTTATCAGTCGTATACAGTGTTTGTCGAAAATAAAGGTATTTTATATTGAGCAAAATTATATTTTTTGACAAACTTTGTAAATCCGACTGATAAAATTTGATATCGGGTGGTTGCATTTTCTGTTAGACCATGCATATATTTTTATGAAGAATTACTTTTTTTCGTAAAATGAATACCTAATAAAAAAGTTTTCTATTTGCTATCAACTTACATAGACATACTGTGTGTATGCAACTTATGACATATTGCTGAGCTAATGTTTTTGGAAGAAAAAAGAAATTAATCATAAAATTTTACTTCATTTGTAGAGTTGTAATTTATGTTTTCATATTTGTACTTTTTTTTATCAATTTAGAATTACAGTACTATTTTCAATTATTATTTTAGATTAATCAATAAGAAAAATAAGCATTTTTGAAACATTAATAACTAAATACAAATTAAACAACAAATGAATAAAAAAGCATTTAAAACACGTTGACTGCCGAAGCAAATGTTGTGGTCGGGTCTGCTGAGCCGAAGTAGTTTTTCTAAAAATTTAAGTCTGTTTTTACGTTTTAAGAGCAAAGTAGTTTAAGTAAATACTCAAGTAAACTACAATATCTAATAGAAGCGTGAATAAAATATATAAACGCGGCGCGGGATTAAATTATTACATTGTTCAATATTTTAATTTGTGTTGTGTAGACACGTAAATAATTTCTAAATAAAAGTTATATGAATTTCAAAAATAGGTATTTTAAAGATATTTTTAGATATATAGGGTTTTGCGTTTTTGTCTGACAAATAAAACGGTATATTTGTTAAGTAGAAAACCCTGTATTTTACTTCAGTTTTAGAATGCTTTAGTAATACTGTATTTAACCCTAGAATTTTATTAACAAATATTGCAGGGTTGCCAATAAATTAATTTTTTTATGAAATTAGAGAATGATTCAGACCCCAAATTAAATTATCATTATTTAGGTAGGTTTAAAATAATTTCAAATTTTTTTAAAATGTAGTAATAAGATACTAAGCTAACGAATAGTGATAATAGAACTGGATTATTTTATACAGTGTGTTTTGAAAAACAAGTCTTAAATATTAAAGTTAAATTTATTTAATTTTTTTCAAATGCCACACCCTGTATATTATTTAAGCATAAAATTCCTTATAAATTAACATATCCAACGATACCAATAAGTTAGTCAATAACACATATACAGGGTGTCCCATTAGTGCGTAATTGATCGATAGCAGTTTTATAATAGAAAATACGAAAAAATTAATATAAAAGTTGTATGACCATATTTAACAATTATTTATAAATATACAGGGTAATCCATAAACGATTGTCTGACCAAACCTATACATTTTTAAAGCAAAACACCCTGCAGGTAGTTATACATATTTGACTGTTTTCACATCGTCGAACAATAATTTCAATTTTATTCATTTGCTATGTTGTATATAGGGTGTGTCAAAATGGTCACGATTTTCTCAATTTTAGAATGGAACACCCTGTATGTTATGCCACCAATTAATATAATATTCCATTGAAAAAAATTTAAACATTTGTAACCTCGCGTGTTGACACACCCTATATATAACAGCAAATGAATGTAGTCAATTAAAATTATTTGACGACGTGAAAACAATCAAATATGTATAACTACCTGCAGGGTGTTTTGATTTAAAAATGTATAGGTTTGGTCAACATCTCGTTTATGGACCACCCTGTATATATAGGAATAATTTTTAAATATGGTCATACAACTTTCATATTAATTTTTTCTTATTTCCAATAATAAAACAGCTATCGATCAATTACGCACTGATGGGACACTCTGTATATATGTTATTCTCTAACATGTTAGTATCGTTGGATATGCAAAATTTATAAGGAATTGTATGCTAAAATATTATATTGGATGCTGCCTTTGAAAAAATAGAGTAATTTGACTTAAAAGTAACCATATTTAAGACACGTTTCAAAACACACGCTATAAAAGAATCCAGCACTATCACTACTATTCGTTATCTTAATGTGCTATAAGTCAGTGTATTAAACAATTTTGAAATCAATGTAATCCTACCTAAATTATGATAATTGAATTTGGGGTCTGCATCATTCTCTAATTTTATAAAAATTTAATTGCTTGGTAGACCTGTAATATTTTTTTAAATTATTCTAGGGTTGAATACAGTATTACCAAACCATTCTAAAATTGAAATAAAATAAATGTTCTATTTTAAAAATATGCCAAGCAAAAATGTAACACCCTGTATATATCCAAAAATATTTTTAAAATATGTATTTTTTAAATCCATATAACTTTTCTTTGAAACATGTTTGCGTGTCTTTAACATAAATTAAAATATTGAACAATTACGCACTAATGGGACATACATACGGGTACATACACATAGCAGTCAACGTGTTAACTCAGAAATAAGATTCCTTATAAAGATAAAATAACATTCAGAAGAAGAAAGCAAAGACCGCCAATATTACGTGCGTATCATACAATGATGCCAGGTCATTCGAATTTAATTTACACCGGAATGCAATAAAGTTCCTTCCCTTTCCTGCATTTCACAATTGTATATTTCACCCACTTTAAAATCAAATTCGTCCTAGAAAGAATTGTGAAATTATCGTATAAATCGATAATCTGGCAACGTGGTCAACACTTGTTCATACACAGGCAAAATCAATCGATAATTTGGAACCAAACGAGACAAATATATATGAAAATCACGAAACAATAAAAGACGGCATACAGCTGTATCACTGTTTCAAAAATTGGTACCTCTAAACAATTATTTACCTATTAAAACCATCTCTAAAACAGAGTAGCTACATTGTTTTTACGATGACATCTTCTTAAAAATAGATTAACTACATGAACTATACACAATTACAGGAATTCATAGAAAATCTCTAATTTGACAAATAAATTTATCAAATATTTGTTAATCGTATTTCCAGTTAGATTTGAAAAATACGCAATAAAATTTAGAAATATTTTGGCGGGATACTTGGAAAAATATGTAGAATGAAATATCCTACTTTTTAGCCTCTGGTTTTAAAATCACTTTTTATGATTTTTTTTAAAATTCAGGACAAATAAAAAATAGGAGATTTCATTCTCCAAACCTTATACTTTAAGCTGGTAAAAGATTCATTTTAATACATTTAGCGGGATTTAAATGCAATCGGAAATGGTGAACTTATATGAAAAATACAGTGATACTGCGGCCTTAAAGAAATCTGTTTAAATAATGAGAGAAGTAAATTAACGAATACGAACATATTTTTAAAGGCCGCCAATATTTTTAAAGGCCGTTAAATATAAAGGAATTGTTACAGAATATACCCCAATATCGCCTTAAATGGGGTCTATTCTGTAACAATTCCTTTATATTTAACGGCCTTTAAAAGTATATTTGTATTCGTTAATTTACTTCTATCATTATTTAAACAGATTTCTTTAAGATAGTCCTCTAATGTATTTTAAAGATCCGTTTAAATAATGACAGAAGTAAAGGAGAAAATATTTTTAAAGGCCGTTAAATATAAAGGAATTGTTACAGAATAGACCCCAAAACCTGTTAAAAGTTGCAATTGCATGCCAAAATTCACGAGAAAAGGCTTGGTTTGAAGAATAAATCTTTCACCAGAAAATGCACCTACATTGGCAATGGAAAAACTGCAGAACTTGAGGTACAATTTGCTCAGCCATCCCCCTATTCTCCTGATTTATAACCCTGAGACTTCCATTTCTATAGCCTTCTAGACTCGCACTTTCGAATACTGACGGAGAAATATTGGACCAAATTTGTTGTAGTCAAGGGAGATAATGTAGAAAAATTAAATCATTTAACTGAAAATTGCAGTCTTTCATTGTTAGGCAGTAGTGGTTGAATACTAGCGATAGTGAATTACTATCGAAAACTATCAATTGTTTTAAATAATCATCGATAGTTTAAACTCCTATATTTTTACATTTCAAGTTCATTTTTACAGAATTCAATCAAAAAAAATTAAACTACATTTAAAAGAATGCACTCAGCAATTTAGCACTTCTCCCGTTTTCTTTTGTCCGTTTGTTTTTTTTATATGTACTTTTTATTTAATTTTTTTTTTAATAAGTAAGTTTTATTAAGTGGGTATTCTTTTCCCCTTACCCATCATATTGTGGCTACAGAACTCAAAAACTAACGATGTTATTACACATTCACCAACTCTCGATAATTTGAGCAATGGTGATATGGTGAATATTGCCTTCTAGAGCATTAAGCAATTTTTTTCTTGGATCGAGTGAACCCCAAAATATCACTATTTGTAATTTTTACCATTCTTTAAAACAAATTATTTTCAATCTTATAGGCATAATAGCTATTGTTGAATTGTGATCAAAATTGGTGCAGATAGTGTCTTAGGAGCGGTACAATTAATTATTTATCGCATAGTTCCTTTACAGACTCAACTAGTTCACTCTGCTTTAATGTACTGGAAAACCCCATTTTAATTTGTACAGAGATATTTCTATCAAGCAAGTAATTAGGTTTCAAGGTGTTGCAGTGCACTGGTCAATATGCAAAATGTATAAAGATTAAAAACAATTTGTTATATTATAAAATAAATATTTTTATTCTTTTCAAATATTTACAATTTAAATAAATATACATTAAAAATAAAAGATATATACAAAAAACGAGATATTTTGTGGCCAGTCTTAACAATTAATATATAATTAAAATTTCTCCAATACAAACTTAATACTACAATTTTATTGCTTTGTATTTATACTATGCAATTTATTTAGATCGAATGTGTACAAAGCATACACAATTTAATAAGGAACAGTAAAATTAAATCTTATATCAACTTTTGGTAAGTACAAAAAAGCTTTTACTATTATTTTTCAGTAATCTAAATTAAAATTGTAGGAACAAATGAAAAACTTGATGCTCCTTTGTAGTTTTTTATTGTAAAAACCGTTCTAACCTATAACATCTCAATGTGCCGAAACACTGACTTGCCATACTCTGATAGTATTATCAGAATAACCAGCAAACAAAGTTTGTCCATCAGTAGACCAAGCCAAAGATAAGCATTGTGGGGGCTCGGCCTTTGTATTTTGTGAAACGACTTCAGGTTTGAGTTCCTCAACCATTTCCTTGCTTTCCAAATCCCAAATTTTAATTGATGGACCAAAAGCTGCGCAGAGCCAATACCTGGAATTAAATTAAGTTTTTTTTTTAAAAGATACTTATTATAAATAATATTTAAAAGATGGAATTGTTGTGATCAGTCCCATATCCGCTTAACCTCTCATAGAACATCAAGTGGTTAAAATTGTGTATGCATCATGTCAATTAAATTACATTTTTTGTAGGTGCTATCTACATTTTTTCAGACATTTTAATTTCGTAACAAATAATAGAATGAGAAAAAATAGTGAAGGAAAAAAATTATATATAACATCCAATACATTGATGAAATTCACCTTTTGAAATATTAAAAATAATCCTAATTCAGAAACAAAAATTAAGCTTTATAAGGGGATGAAGCCGATTGATAGTGAAAAAAAAAAAAAAAAAAAAAAAAACTGATTGAAAATGGGGCTTAAAGGAAATCTGTTAAAAATGTGCAGTATATAATATAGAATGCCAAAAATGAAAAATATATTTTTTCGTTTATTTATATATAAAGCACATAGGAAAATACAAAGTTACAAATAAAAAAGAATACCAACAAAAAATTAGAACCATTGAATTAAAAAATTAAAAATTTTACAAACAAGTTGTCCTACCAGTACCAGATATTGTTGACGTTTGACATATTTATATGTTCCACCCAGTTAACAAGTAATTTTTCAAAGAAAAAAATTTTTTTTTTAATAAACATTGACAGTTCATAGCTGCTCCAAAAATAACTAATAATCTTTTAGTGTTTATAATGGCATTGCTAAACGAAAACATAAAATAAAAAAGAAATAAAACAAATGTTTTAAAATAGAAAAATACAAATAATTTATACTAAAACGTAGCAAAACCTAGATATATAACTATATTTTTATTTGCTAACACCTTTATTGACTTCTTTGTTGGATATTGTTGACTACTATACAAAACTGTTATACATTCAGAAAAACAATTCTTACCTGTTTGGTGAGAAGCACAAAGCAGTGATAATGTCATTGTGATCCAAAGTATGCAAGTGCTTGCCGTCATTCAAGTCCCACAACATAGCTTTGCAGTCTTTTCCACCGCTGGCACAAAGGCTTCCATCAGGAGAAACTGTGACAGTGTTTAGATATCCAGTGTGTCCCGAGTGGTTGATCTTTAGCCTGCAGTTGGTCAAATTCCATACTTTAACCATACGGTCCCAACCAGCAGAGACGATGATGGGGTTGGCATGATTTGGAGAGAATCTCACACATGATACCTTAAATAAACAAATGAACTTAATATTTGGAATGTATACTAATAAAAATGAAGCCTAAATAACTTGGGAATTATAAATTTTATAATTAAGGTGTCCTTTATATTGTCATGGCCCACAACTTGATAGGAGTGAATAGATATATGACAAATAGAACCATTCACTCCCAAGTACTATATGCAACTTTAGGGAAATGACGAATTGTGAAAACTTCTAACCCACAATCAGCAAATTTTCACCAACAATGTTTACAAAATGCCTACGCCAGTTGGTGCTTGAAAAGTAACTGAACAATTTAAATTTTATTTCTACAAACTCTTCATTTGTGGGAAATGCCCTTTACAACTACAATATAGTAATGAAAGAAGCAACTAAATTGCTAATTGCAGAAGAGGTACAAGTCATGCGAGGTATAAAATTCAAGTCACCAAATTTTATTAACGTTTTTCTCAAAACTAAAGTCACTTGACTTGTACCATTTCTGCAATTAGTATTTAATTATTTTCCTATTCCTAATATTCAATTTTTTGTAATAACTGTCTTAATTCAGATTGAAGAACAAAGAGATAATTTCTTTTCATTCACACCCATGAATTAATTTAATCTCCTTCCTGGCAACAACCAATAAAGTCAAAACAAAAACGTAAACTGGTGCTTTTAAGGAAGGTAATTTTAAACTTTTTAACTACATCCATAAATGTATTATTTAATATTAAAATAGAACTTTCAAATTAAATCTAATGGTAAAAATTAATAGGTTTTCAAGATATTTACCCAATCTGAGTGGCCATCATCTTGAATAGTGTATTTACATTCAGCTAAAGTGTTCCATAACTTAATAGTCTTGTCTCTTGATCCAGATACAATTTGACGATTGTCAACAGAAAAAGCAACACTCAGTACATCCTAAAAAATCGATTATGTAGATTATAAAACCATCAACATACCAAAAATGGAATTCACAACAAATTTGAGAAAATATAAACCCTTAGACAGGCGTTAAGTATTTCAACATTAAGTATGGAAAAATAACTCTCACAAAAAAACATATTTGTGAGCCAAATTGACCACGCCTTACTAAGGGTTAAGAAACTAAAAATAAAATGTCTTATAACAGATTGAGGAACAAAAATTGGCATACATTTTATCCGCACCCAGTCATAAATTCTATATATTCCTACTCGACAACCAAATTTGTTTGGTATGGACACAATTTGGTGCTTTTGAGGAAATACCATATCATTAATTAAACTGCTTAGTACAAAATAACCGTCACTTACCGTTATGTTAATACCTCAAGTCTTCTGATGATGTACGATGTTAAAAAAAAAATAAACAAAAAATCTTCTAGCTGTTTTAAATAGGGATGATTAGTTATTGCTTACAAATTATCTATAGTACCTCAAAACAAGACTCGAAAATTCAAATTCTTGATAAAAAAGCAAGATTAAAATTAAATATAACACTGAAAATACAATTTTCGAATCTTACTAGAGAAACTAGCATTTAAAATATTTTTATCGAACCTTTGTGTGGTCTTCAAAACGCCTCGTGGTTTTGCCTGCGGCCAAATCCCAGAGCCTGAGTGTTTTGTCCCAAGATCCGGAAAGAGCGTAGTTTCCATCACTAGAAAGTACTACATCGGAAATGTAGTGCGAGTGACCGTAAAGCCGTTTTTGTGGAACACCATATTGGGTATCTTCACGTGTCAATTTCCAAACGATCAAAGTTTTGTCTAAAAATTAAAAATATTAAGCAATAAGCAAATGAGAAATAAAAAGCATTTAAAATATTAGTAATTAAACGAAAAATGAAAAAGGATTGTCGAAATATTCCAAGATTAAAAACTAACCTTGAAAACAATTTTAATTAAGTATTTTAAAATTTACCTCTTGAAGATGACAAAATCATGTCAGGGTATTTTGGATTGGTAGCAATTTGGGTAACCCATCCATTGTGCCCCAAAAGGGTCCCTTTCAGTTGCAAAGTTTCGCTCATTTTTTATTTCTAATACACACGCACGACGCACATCTACCCCTTGCGACAACAACGTACAAAAAGAAATTGAAATAATTTTTTGTGGATGAAGGAACTGGAAATTACACTAAAATGGAAGGGGAAATGTCAAGTTTCATTTGTTTGATATAAGGCACATTTTCGCGAGTGGACCACACTGGTTAAGCTGGTCAAATTCGGGGATTGGCGAATGGATGAAAATGGACCACTTTCGTTCAACTGAACGGTTATATTTCATATTAAGAACCAATCACAATTCATATTCTGGTCACTAGTCTACTATTATTTTTTTAAATATTTTATATAAGAGTCGATTCCACCGTTGTGTTAATTAAACGGATTTTAAATTAGTAAACGAAAATTAAAATAACATTTAACAATGTTGTTTTAATATTCGTTTAGTAATTTAAACTTTATTTAACATAACAGTGGAATCGGCACTAAGTGACAATTCTGTTAAACTAATTGTCAGTATATTTTTTAGTTATTGAGATTAAAATATTCATTAAAATGAGTTATTCTTATGTCGATAAAAAACAGCATTTCTATTTTTATTTCGTCTATAGTTACAAATAAACTATCAATTTTAATAAAACTATATGAAATCCTAATTTAATTAGGAGTATTAAAACTAAAATGGTAGGTGTGGCGATGGAGATGAGACATTTTACATTTACATTTTAATCTTCGATTAGGACCGATTCCACCGTTGTGGTAAACGAAGTTTAAAATGACATTTTTACATTAACAATGTCATTTCAATCTCCGTTAAAAATTACATTTTTACATAAAAAATGTCATTTTAATCTCCGTTTAACACGACGGTGGAATCGGTCCTTAGTAATTTAAACTTCTTTTAACGCAATGATGGAATCGGCCCTAAATATCGTAAAATAAAGCGAAGTATGGTTTATTTCTTAACTACTAGCGGTGACATTGGACCTAATCTAATAAATAGGAAAACTGCAAAACGTGTCCTTTCAAATAGCGAGCCAAATTTAAACATAGCGTTAACATTTATGTGTAAGCTAAATCGAAAAAATATATAGGTTTGCTCTGGTTCTTAAAAAATGTTGCAAACTTTCCAAGAACTAGTTAAGGGTTAAGCAGTTCAAAGTTATAATCGTCTGGTTTGGTATTAAACTATTTAACTATTTTTGATGGATCACAGCATAGAGCATATCACAGCTCTGATCACAGCATTATAGCTTTGTTTGCGGAACCTGCCGCCAACAAGTCTACGACAGATGAGCATGCGCATTTTGATTTTGTTCGTAGTACAGGACAAGTTACCGACAAGTCAAAACGATCAGCAAACATTACGTGGACAATTTGTCAGGAAATGCTTAATAAGTAAAAATGATGAAAAAACTGCGTTAATAAAGAGAAAAAGGAACGGAATAAAGAGGAATAGTTGATTGAGTACCCTGTTTTTTCAATAGCTTTTTCAGGGAAAATAGACAAAATTAAATTCAAACAAAACTTTCATTCAAGTTCACTGATTGCGAAAACATAAAATCTCAAAATAGTCTAATAATACCAACCTCGTAAGGAGTAGACTCAACGCACAAGGACGTAAAACATCGTACAGAATCAATGGCCAGAACATCAGCGAGAATCTAGCCTAGATTCTAATGAAGAAATATTTATGTATATTTATATTTCCTCTTTTATTGAACATAAATTGTAAATAGAAAATGTAAATAAAGAAATTTAAAAGTAAAGTAAGTTGATTGAGTTTTTAAGTATGCAGATTATTCCAATAAATTATAAAAATTGAATATTTGAACTAACAAAAAATTAAAACTACAATTTTTACAATGGAATGTTTCTGATATATTCTAAAAACTATCTTCACAATCTACAGTCTTTTGTACTTTTGTATAACTTTTTATTTGCAGTTAAAGTGCATGATTAGTAATTTTAATACACAAGTCGTTCGTGATCTTTTGTCAGGGATATGTTACAAATCGCAGTTGCGCACAAACGTTTCTGATTACTTATCAGTGACAAGCCGTGTACTTGTCGGCGGCGACAGGCTCCGCGAACAAATCTATAAATTTTGATCACAGCTCAGTGATCACAACAGAGTTTTTGGAAAACTGGTTTACGATTAACACGAAAAAGTAACTTCAATTCAAAATGTGGTTGGTGACCCTGCATGATGTCATGTTGTCAAAAATTTGAGACTAGTTGCGCAGGCGTAATTTGAATTTCTTTTCCATTTTTTAGCTCGGAGAGGTTAGTAAATTAGAAAAATATATCTATTAACATCCTTAATTCTGAAAAAATTATATACAATTAAAATAATTCATTATGTTATAAGAATTATTTAATTTGTATTGACCAACGTATATTTCGTGTTTTTAATTCTTGACTGTGATATTTTTAGGGCAAAATGGTTCAACGACTGGTCTTTAGAAGACGACTGTCTTATAACACAAAATCCAACAGGAGGCGAATGTAAGTACTCAAACCCACTATTTTTTTGTTTGTTTTATTTCAATTCTATTTATTGAACACGTAATATTTGAATTAAAAAATGTAAACTTTGTAATTTGAGGTTATATTTTGAACAGTTCTTGAATATGTGTATTATTATGATGATTTTTTGGCTAGAGTACTGAGGTATTCCCACTGACGACAAACCCATTCGTTCGTTTTTTTTTCTGATACAATTTTTAATGCACGTTTTCTTTTGACTTAAAGGAAAATATGAAATTTAAATGAACATTTTTTTGTTAGCGTTCGCACTCCTGGTGGTAAATTGGTATACCAATACCTCAAAAAACCCAAGAAGATCCCAAGATGTGGACAATGTAAAGACAAACTGAGAGGTATTCTTCCAGCTAGGCCCCAAGAGAGATCCCGTTTATGTAGAAGGAAGAAAACCGTAAAGAGGGCTTACGGCGGTGTCTTGTGCCACAAATGTGTAAAGGAAAAGATTGTAAGAGCTTTCCTTATTGAGGAACAGAAGATCGTTGTTAAAGTTCTTAAAGCCCAACAAGCTGTAATTAAAACTAAGAAATAGATGGTAATAAATGTATAATTTTTATTGTTTTTATTGATGATATGCTTTTACCCAAATCATCTTGTGAATTGCAAAAGTTTCTATTTAAAATATGGGTATCTAGTGACATATTTTAGTGCATAGGGTTAAATTTAAAGATACAATTACATTTTAAAATATATATTTGTTGAGCTTTAATAATTAATATTGTAAAGTGTGTTCCTATAAGAAGTTTTCAATGTTTTTATTAAATAGAAATAACACCAAATAAAAAATTTAAGACTTTATAGTAATAGGCAACACAATCAGGGTTGGCAGTTACAGGTTTTTTGCAATTTTAGGTTTTTTAAGATAAATATTAAGAATTTACAGTTTTACTAATCAACTCTCAGGAGAAAGGGTGCAAAAATGAGTATATAAAAACGTGCAAACATTTTTATCACAGGTTATAATTAGGTACTTCTTCTTGATATTGATATTAATGATAGTGACAATATGTTTTACATATTATGAACTAAAACCCTACTTATATATTTTTGAATTCTTAGGTTTTTTCAATCCCTGAACACAATATTGAGCAAATGGCAAATTAATATTTTGGTGAAAATGAAAATTCTAAAATTGTTACAATGTTTTGATCTCCTAGACATCAAACTTTTTAAATGTAATGTGACATAACTTTATGTCAGATTTAATTTTGATAGGAGTATGACAGTGGTGCATTTCTTTTTTTTTTATTAATGTGTCTGGAACATAGCCCTCGTCTTGAATAATCTAGCTATTGATACAGGTACAATCCATATTTCTAGTCTTGCTTCTTTAACTTATAAAAATGTATTTTTATAAATAAAATATGTAGACAGATTATTGTAATTTGATAGCTAATGGCATATTGACAGTATAAGGGGTGACCATTTAAAAACTTCAATGGCTATATGTAAATGTGATATCAGTATGATAGGAAGAGGGAACCTAAATAAGATGCTCCATGTACCTCAAAAAAACCTATTCAACATAGGAGCGCTAGTAAAAATGCTCTTTCAATGATATAAGTTATACCCTTTATAGATTTAAAGTAAATAATTAAAAACTATAATAACGTTGATGTGTTTATCTGAATTAAATACACTCCTCACAAAAAGTATCTCATTTTTTATTATTGTTTTCTAAAACTCTTTGGAAATAGTAGGTAATGAAATTTAGCAATATTTAACAAGTCGTTTATGAAATTAAAAAATGACTGGCAAAAATAATGAAAATAATTATTCTACAAAACTACAAAGTAACAAAATTCTGTGATACTTTTGTGACAAGCATATTTCTAGTCCAGGAGTACAGTATAATTAAAATATGTCTTTATTAACCAAGAGCAAGAACACATACAATAAATAAAAATATAATGCAATACAAAGAGTTAAAAGGTGCAAGTTCAACCTTAGATAATATATTGACAGATAGGCTCTAATAAAATCATTTTCTTTTTCTAATGCAGACTTTCTCCCTCATATCAGAATCTTCAGCAGTAGCGTACGTAAACGGATTGCATTGGGTTATTTTAAATGTGAAAATAGTGACTGAAAATAGATTAAAAAGTACAAAATAATATTTTAAAAGATAGGTACGTTTTTATTGAACTGAAAACAAAATATGACATTGTCATGTCAAAAAAATAATAAATATTTTATTGCTTCTAAAATATTTAGAATTACACCAAGGATTTGGAATTCTATAAAATATCTATACCTGTTGAAAAGCTATACAATGGTAGAACTGAAAAAATACATAATTTAAACATGACAAAATATTCCTAATAAGAATAAAACAAACCAATATATATTTACCGATTTAGCATAAGTAGAAGTATTTCACGATATTAAAAAATATATAGGAATTTAATTTACTTTTCTAATGACTTCGTTTAAAATATAAATTGTCTAGTTACTTTATTTAAATTAGGTAACTAAATATTCTTATATTACCGATGATAGTTTATATTTTATACCATGTACAAATATATACAGTATGCGTCCAAAAACTAATAATTTTTTTGATATTGCACATACCTTTTCACTCATCTTAATTGTGTCTGTAATGTTTTATTTCTGTTTCGTAAGTTTGAAGCAGTACTGTTCGCAACAAAAAGTCTTCGTAATGACCGATTTTCTAGAAACTTCAATGTATTTACCAAAATATCTAGGTTTTCTGAAATTCATATAAAATTTAATGTATCAGCTTAGATCAAATCCAATGTTTGATTTACTTCTTAATTAATGGTGACTCTAATTTTGTTGATGAGAATTTCAGAGTCATACCTTGAACTTAATATTGAAGTGTATGAGGTACTTTTGTTCAAACTATAACTTCTTTTATTTGTTGGCAAGTTTAATACTCTTAAAGAAGGCCCATAATCAAATAATTTGGTATCTGAAGAAATGACTATACTAAAAACATTCAAACATTATTGGTTCGCCAAATTTATTAAACACAATACCTTCTATTTTTTTTAGGTGACTGTCCAAAAACTTATTTGGACTACTTTTACATTTTTTCATTAATTAAATTATGTACTCTTGTTGGGAACTCATAAAGTGATTGGTTTTCGAGATATTCACACTTATTATTTTTTTTATTGGTGTCTTTGGCTTCAACATCTAAGGTCATTAGCCTCGTGTTCTATGTAGGTTATGGATTGTACTAGGAGTCTAATACTCCATAGTGCAGGAGTATTAGTACTCTAATACTCCTACACCCCTACAGACAGGCCTTGTTACTGTTTCCTTGCGCCACTTTAGGAACAGCACTGTTAATTAGAACCCAACAGTGAATGGTCGAGTGGGGAATCCTACCAAGGCATCAGAATTAATTTTAAATAATTAAATTAAATAAAAAAATTCCGGCCAACGGTGGAATTCGAACCGCGGATCGAAGGATCCCAGGTTGGGTTCTAATTATTATTATATTAAAAGGGAACAGTATTAATAAAATTATTGTGCTGCATTAAACACAACAATATCAACCAAATTTAGGAAAATCCTTATTGATAAAAGAGGCCTTATGTAAAAATACGACAAGTAATCTTTAAAAACCGTTTATTAGGTTTCCACAAGTGTCAAAATTATATTGCCACAAAATTCTACAGACTCTTTAAACATTTAAGACTTATGTTTTAGTACAAAAACTCCTTCTAAACCTTTTGGCATAAACTTCGGCACTTTCTTGGTACTCTTCATTACTTCAAAAGTAGTAAACCTTCCGTATTCCGTAATTTTTGTGATGGCGTACCTCACATTACCTTTAGCCGGGCAATCTCCCCGTTGCATGTTGCCGTTGGAATCTGAACCTGATGTGTATCCCGTGGAAGAAGTGCTTGTATAACAGTCGCATAATAGTTTTTGGTCTTCAGTGGTGCTCCTGACGCGGTTGTCTGTGCCCTTGTCACAATTGTTTCTAAAAACATAAATCAACGATACACGGAACGCCATTTCATCGTAACGTGTTACATACAAGATTTTTTATAATTTTGACTAGATTATTTATAAAAATGTGATTGGTAAAAATTACTAACATCTATGCAATCAATATTGTTTTCGTGCTATATTGGTTGCATAACTTCATTTATTTTATTGGCATATTTAAAAAAATAGAAAATTATATAATTTATTCTTGACCACTTGTTAGAATGTCTTGATAAAATTATTTTATGGTGTATTGTGTTTTGATTAATTTGTGCCGATTTAGAATGGAAAATAAAGGGACCAAACCAGAATTGGAGGGTATGAAGGAGAAAAATACTAAACCTCAATTGACAAACTGAGATAATCAGCTCTAAAGTTTTTGTTCGTTTGAGAAAGTTGTAGGACGTGTATTTTATTACCCAAATCCGTACCCAACCCAATATCTGGTATATTGTGGGTTGGTAGCTTTCTGTATAAGGCCTTCCAGTTATTACTAACAAACTCTATTTTTATATAGCCAACCTTCTTCTTCGAAGAAAACTTTTAAGAACAATGTATAATATTGATTTTAAAACCAACTGTTTACATATAGTAGATTATTTTGACACTTGCTGCGACTACAACAAATGTCACTTTATATACCAAAATTAGAAGAACTTACTTTTGATTCTGGTTTTTCATTATATCATTTATGATCGCTGTTGTACAGGGACAGGTACGGTCACTATTTCTAGGCATTTCATTAGGACCCTCTTCGCCTGTCATACAAGCCGTTATGAAAGGACATGTTACTACCACTGGTGTTTTTTTGGTCTCGCAACGAGGGCAGTAGGAAGGCGGACACATACATCTGATGTTTTCTGTATTTTGTTGTTCTCCATTGGCGTGGATGTGACAGGCGCAAATGTATGTATCCGTACTGGATTCTTTAGACTTTGAGGAAGTGGAAGATTTCAAAATAGAAGCTGTAGATGAAGATTTGTCAGTTTTGGAACATTTGTTCTTTGTAGGACATTTTTCTTCTAAAAATTACATTAAAAAATAAGTTGTAGGTAATTCTGTTTTAATAAATATTGTTGTATTGTAGGTATATATTATTATCATCAAAAATACAACACCGATGCTTTTCTTTTACAAAACCCCGGAATAAACGTTTTCTTATTCTTTTAAAACCAGTTGTTAACTTGTATTTTTTATCCATGATAATTTGGTTTGCAAAAGAACTGCAGTTGTTTTTTAGTTTGTTCATTTGTTACTCGTCATTGGATAAGCTGCTGAACTTTTCTTGAGGTGGATATCTATTTATGTTTTTTATAACAAAACAGAAAAAAAAGCAGACAATACAGTTTGGACTACTTGAAGTTTGGATTTATTCCATCTCTATCAAATCAACACTTGCTGATGTGTTTCATATGTGAAAAAGTATTCAGTAACGATGCTATGAAGTCTACTTAAGTATTCAACCGCAAAGTTTTTAAATTGGTAAGTATTTTGTATCGATAGGAAAAAACTAGAGATAGGATTTTTAAAGTAATTAGGCTATGGGGGGTCTGAGGTATCAGTTCATTTTGGAAACGGAGTCTCTTGGATGTTGCATCTCTCGGCTCTTGCTATGCTTGCCGATCTGTACAATATAAAGAGTGATCCACAAAAAATGTTTCTATAGTAGTCCATGGCCGACAAAGACACAGATAGATAAATAAATCCGAACTGACATTAAAAAAAAGAAGAAGAAAAAATAACTTAGGTACGTGACTGCCTAATTTAGAAATATTTTTTGTGGATCACTTCATATTTGTATTTAGAGATCATGTCAGGAAGCAGATAGTCACAATAGATCGATCTGGGTCACCTACTCATTTTCAACCAGGCGGGAAATGCATTAAAATTTGTTAAACGAAAAATCAGTTCTAGATAACAATCAGTACGTTGTTTGTGAGTGCCAATATTGTTAACTCGAGGGTATCCACCGAACCCTCATGCTCTGATCATAGACACATCAGATTTGACATGAGGACGGATACCTACTCTCCAATTCTGTCACCATAAAAGCACAAACTGGAGTGGATACGAAAAGTCTTTCCAGGAGGGTCTTGGAATCGTAATTAAAACTATTTATAATAGCGCAGAGATTGAAGTAGCGAATGATCAAATTCAAAAAACCCTTATTACTGCCTATCAGGACAACTGCCCACTAAAGGAGAGAAGAGACCTGAGGGGTACTCCATGGTGGAGCAGAAGCCTCGACCAAAAAAGAAAATAAGTTCGAAATATCTTCAATCGAGCTAATGCGATAGTTCAGTGTGATGTCATTTTGGTTCCACTGACATTTAATTCTAACCAAACTTTTAACAAAAACATCAATAAATTTGACATATGTTTTTACTGTTTTTATTTTATTTCTAAATATTGTTTACAGGCCATAAAAAATAGTTTAAAGGTATGTAATTGGTAACTAAACGATTGTATATTTGATACATGATATCTACTTACTTTAGGAATATATTTATAAAAGTGAAAGAACGATATAATTTAGGTAAACAAAACGAAAACGCACTCAAAAAATCTACTGTCACTTTAATTGTCAGTGGAACCATAATTACATCATCACTGAACTAGCGCATAAAGAATTTGGTTGCTGGGAAAAATACCGCAAATCCCTAACGGAGTACAACAAGGCTATCAGAAATGCCAAACAAGAATCGTGGAGGAAGTTCTGTCAAAGTATATCAGATTTACCTGTAAGTACCAGACTTCACAAGATTATCGCCAATGATCCGAGACAGGAAATCGACTCGATAAAAAGACCTGACAACACCTATACAGACTCTGGCACGGAAACGTTAGAGATTCTTTTGCAGAAACACTTTATAGGCAGTCGAATCCTGGAGGACAAGGTAACATGTACCCCTTACTTTTAAGGTAATCGATCATACGACCCAAAAAGGAGGACTGGATCTTTGTTGCACAAATTGTCTCTCTAAATGCCGTGAAATGGGCGATGAATTCATTCTCCCCTTTCAAATCACCCAGAGAGGATGACACTTTTCCTGCCCTTGTCCAAAAAGGACAGGAACTCCTGCTACCCCTCCTTGTGAGGCTGTTTAGAGCAAGCCTAGCGTGGAGCTATATCCCGCTAGGATGGACGATGGCGAAAGTCGTGTACAAAATTCGACAGGTAATTCACACATAGTGCTAAAAGCAGTTAAGTTTCTATACTCGTTCATGAAACGGAGCATTTTCCATATTTTCAAATAGTGCGAGTTATGTTACTTTCCTATTTCCTATCTGTATAGAAAAAAGGAGGTTGGCAAATTTTCTGGACCACAGGCACTCGGCAGTCGCACGTAAAGGCAATAAGTCCCAATTTTACCATAACTGTCGCTTAATAGGCATTCCAAATTAAATATTGTATACAAAGGTACAAATTCTTTACAAACCGCATCCATCAGTTAGCACTTAAAACGAAAATACTACTAAAATGGAAAAAGACGTAATTTAAATTAGCTTAGCCAAGCGATTTTGATTTTACTAGATTTATTTCACATACGTACTGTTATTTTTATCAATAAAAGTCCATACATTATCCAATGATAAGCATTAAATGAACAAACCTGAAGTATCATATCCAGAGCCCTCAGAAGAGCTATCAGAAGTCGTTTCCAACGTTCTTGTTGTAACTGATTGGTCTGTATCTTCGGTAATATCCGTTTCAGTTACTTCTTGAATAGGCTCTTCTTTTACTTTACGTTTCTCAGATGTTTTCGATACTTTGGATTTTTTCGAATCAATCGATTTTTTAGTTTCCATAGTACTTCTTCGTTCTTTCGATTTATTTTTTTCCGATAAACTTTTCCGGTCTTTCGTCGCTATTGATTCCGATTGTTCCAAAGATGGTTTGCGTTCCTTTTTCGATTCTTTTCGTTCTTGCCTTTTCTTCGATTCGTCCGAACCTCGTCTGGAATCTTTTGTATCTCTTTTAGAACCTTTCGATTCCTGGGCGGACTCTTTTGATGTCCTACGTGGATGTTTCGTTTCTTTGGCCTCTGTCTCCGAGTCCGTGTCTGACATTTTAGACGGTTTAGATTCTTTTATAGATACACGTGAGGGTTTTATAGAAGTGTTCCTGAAAATAAAACGTTTGATTGATTCATAAAATCTGAAAAATGTATAAACTCAACAAGGAGTAGAAAGAAAATGGGAAAAATGTTGAAATACAGACTTCGAACAATTTTTATCAAAAATATTATCCAATAATTCAGATCAAATAAATGGTATCTTTAGGAGGTCATTGGTCAAAATTTAGAAACTGTCGACGAAATTAGACGGTAATCTACATCCTAAAATAATAGTAAAAGTTCATATAAATATAGGTCTTAAAACGTTTCGTTTTCGAGATACAGGGTGTTAAAAGTGAAGCCCTAACGACACATTTTTGTAAATATTTTCTAAACCTTTAAAGATAAAGTAAAATTTGGCACAAAACTTTTTACGCTCTATTTAATGGGTTAAACCCCAATTTTTGATCATCTTCATATGTGGGTAAATTAGGGGGGCATTTTTGACTACAAAATTTGGAAAACCAATGTTTTCTTTATAATAAAGTTACTTTTGTTGCATCTCGCTAGGATGCACCATTTTATATTATGTTATTCAAAAGTGCAAACGATAATTAGTAAGCCTGGAATCCAATAGCTGCTATTCAATTTTTTGAAATGCTGTGATAAACAAAAATTGGCTGTCAATTGTGTAATTATTTGTGCTTTTTTTTGTGTAAAAAAAAGATACTTTTAATAAATAAAGAGTATTTCAAATAGAGAATAGGCAGATATTCATTTTGTAAATGGTATGTGTAATACTATTTTACGATTCTTAGTTTTTATTGCTCAAATTTACACGAACAATAACACAAACAAGTTTCAGATTAAATGCATTTGTAAATTCTTACTTTTGCTTACTTGTCTTTTAAAAAATATGTTCATTTACAGGGGCGCATATATGGGGATAATGGGGGTAATTACCCCCAAGAATTTTTAAACCTTACTTTTTATAGGTACTAGAACGTACTATTATCCAAAATAAATCCTTAAATATTACCATTACCCCCCAGACTTAAACTGTATTACCACTACCCTCCCCCAGATAAAGTTCCAGGTAACTAAACAATGGATATATTATCCGAGAGTTACTATCTCACATATAATTAGGTTTTCGTCTTTTCAAGAGAAATATTCTGTAGGGTAGTTACCTGCTACTTTTTAACGTTCTGTGGTCATGTAATACCTTCATATCAGCTCTGTGATGCTGGCCCCCCGAAATTCGAAAATTCTTGTTTTAAAAGAGGCATACGTTTGACCACCTATTGACCATGTTTGACCACCCCTTAGATTTTTTTAACACCCCTTAAAATAATTTAAAGGGGGTAAATTATAGAAAAACAAGAGTTCTGAGATGCATTTCAAATTTGAAAGATAGATCAATGGTCAGAAAGGCACAATATAATCAAAAAACGTTTAAAATGATGTATCACCGTTTGATCACTCCCTATAAAATATCTTGAAAGAAACCAGAGGGGTTAAAAATTCAAAGAAAATATTTCTCAATCCAATTTCTAGTCCAAAAAAATAGTCAATCGACATAAGGACATAATAAATATCCATAAAGGTGTACAGGCTTTTAATAATTTGCCTGAAGATATTAAATGTTCTTCAAACGCGGCAATATTTAAAATAAAACTGCGTGAGTAGGTACTTGTTGACCAATTGACGTTTTTTTTTCTCTTGTTCTTTTATTATTCTTTGTATAGTTGACATGTAAGTGTACTGTATCTTATGTATTTTTTATTGTTTTTTAAATGTATGTTGATTCTATACTTATGTATTTTTTATATTTTAAATGTGAAGATGTATTGACATGTAAAAAATAGTTTTTTTTTTATTAAATAAACGATTTATATATCCTACTTGGGAACATTAAAATTATTTTAGGGGGTCAAACGTCACAACATAATTTTAAACCTTTATGGATATTTAGTATGTCCTTATATCGTTTGACTATTTTTTTGAACTAGAAATTGGATTGGGAAATATTTTCTTTAAATTTTTAACTCCTCTGGGGTATTTCAAGATATTTCAGGGAGTGATCAAACGGCGATACGTAATTCTAAACGTTTTTGGATCCTATTGTGTCTTTCTGACCATTGACATATCTTTCAAAGTTGAAATCCATCCCAGAACTCTTGTTTTTCTATAATTTACCCCTCTTTAAATTATTTTAAGGGGTGTTACGTATGCCGCTTTTTAACTTAAAATTTTCGATTTTCGGGGGGGCCAGCTTCACAGAGCTCTTCATATCAATTTATTTGCATGCGATATGTCACTCTCACTATCACTTGTCGTTATTTCGTTCACTTATTTGAAAGAAGTATCTATCCTTCATTTTCACAACTCCATAAAGCAAGTGACAAAAAAAGAAAAGATCGACAAACTTTCAATAAGCAAGAGAACGCTTGAAACACAAAGCAGTACTGCAAAATAAAAAAACTGATTCTTGGATCTGTTGTATTGTAATTATTATAGATTGTTGATTAAATTAAATTTTTCAAAGGTGTAGTTTTTTTATTGTATATGTGTGTATTATTGCTGCGAATGGCATTAGTTTACACTATTTACCATATACTATTTTATTTTTGTAAAGGCCTTTTTTTTATTATATTGCTAATTTTTCGAAATTAAATATTCAATTATACGACACAAATAAGTAAACCACTATTTACAAAAACATAACATCGTCTATAAAAGCAAATAAAATATGTTGACTCGTATCACATATTATTATGTCATATACCTACTTATCCATCAGTTAACTACTTTATCAGGAAGCTCAGAGCTAAGATATGTTATCTTTTAGATTAGATAAATTTATCTGCCGGTTAGTTTTATCCAAAAGCGAAAAGATAACTCTTTAAGTTATCTGGGAGATAACAGTTACCTGACACTTTATCTGAAGGTAAAAAGAGCGACCTTTAGTTTTATCATTTAAAGTTTCTTTATAATAATAATACGAGTAAATTTTAACCCCAAAAGCTGAGCTTGTCTGGGGAAAGGGACGGCTATTATTATTAATTACAGTGGCGCTCCGGGGCGACTTAAAGATGTATGATGGTGCCATTTGATTTATAGGCGAGGAAAACCTCACCCACCACCATCAATATAAAAAAAAACATTTAAAAAACAATTAAAGCTAAATAAATTTCTTTAGTCACCGGTTTTCCAAAGCTGAAAAAAAAATTGATTCCACAGGCCTACTAATTATTGTTTGTACTTACGAATTAGATAATATGAACTTATCATGAAATTTTCAAATGCTTTTCTCTTGAAAATGGTGCGTCCTAGCGAGATGCAACAAAATCTTTAAAAGCTGTCAACGAAAAAACTTTACCCTAACCCCCCTAATTTACCCACCTACAGTTCATTAAATTTCTAGAGGCTTTCGACGGCTAGACAGAGAAAGCACTACTGACAGGCATCCCGACGGATTTACGTAATGAAAGTACACTCTGCGCATCAAGTATTTCACTATTTCATTCAGACGTAAATGTCAGATGTAAATTTCGCTAAAACATTTCTTTTATTTTCGTTTGTGTTTTTTGCTCATTACAGTTTAATAGAACCTAAGTATGGAGTTTAATAGCAAATTAAGAGGCCGCGTGATTAACAGTCAATCTCGCGAAATAATAGCCAATGTTATAGAGTTTATGAGAAGAGAAGGAAACTTTAATTCACCTTCAATACCATTTAAAAATGTAAATGATCGTGAGAGAAAAAAAGAATCGATAACCGTGAGATATCGGAATTTTCATCACCAAGAAAAACCATTAAAAAACCAAAAACAGTTAATGATATAGATGAAGCTGCACAAGAATCAAATTTTATTTTTTTATTATTAGATAGCTATTTTTGTTTCGGAGTTGTGTTCATTTACAGGCTCAATTTTTTTCCGTTTCTCCTTTTTGATTTTATATGGGGTTTCAAGTTGTTTTTGACTTATTTCGACGTAAATCACAACAACACACTTTTTTAATAAAGCAAACAAGTGTTAAGAGGTATATGTACGTGTAAACTACAATTACAAACAATTGATATGAAACCCATGAAACCACCAACAAAAATGTAAAGCTAGCTTCCGTACTAGAACATGGTGTCATTCGTCGAGATAATTTATCGTTTTGTTTAATAGATCAAGAAATGTAAATATTCCCCTGTTATTTTTTATAAAATTATAAGAGAAATAAATTTTTTTCTAAATAGTATAGTTTATTATTTTGTAGAAAAACAAAATTTCGAAAAATTTAGTAATGTTTCAGAAACAACCGTTATTAATAATAGGTACCATTTTCCTTAATAAGGTAGAAATAAAATATAAACTATTTCCACGATTTACAAAGGCCTACAAAAAAATTATAGGTATTTTCCGCTATCCTATAAAATTTATATTTTCTGACTCAATTTCAAAAGGTTGAAGGAATTCCAAAACATCTTTTATGGCATAATAATTATTTTCAATTCTACATACTATCTTTAGCTGCTTTTAAAAACGTTCTAAGAAAGTCCAATCAGACCAATTTAATCCCTAAACTATTCCACACTTTTAAAATTTAATTACCTCTAGAAATTTGATGAACTGTATGAAGATGATCAAAAACTGTGCTTTGGTCCATTAAAGAGAGCGTAAAAAGTTTAGCATTTGTACCAAATTTCACTTAGTTATATTCAAACGTTTAGAAAATATTTACAAAAATGTGTCATCAGGACTTCACTTTTAACACCCTGTATCTCGAAAAAGAAACGTTTTCGGACCTTTGTTTATATAAACTTTTACTTCTATTTTAGAATATGACCGTCTAATTCGGGACGCACTGTATTTATCTGGGATAATTAAAACGAGTAATTAAAAGGATAGGTTTTCCGTCAAATTCTTGACCTGAAGTATAAAAATGGCGACATAAATAATGGTTTTATGTATTATACGTATTTAATGTGCGATAAAAAAGAAGCAATAATAAATATTAAAACGAACAATTAATCTACTAACCTTGTAATTTCTTGAGAGTGTAATAATGGCAGATCATCTTGAGCATAGGTTGCAGTAGCTACTACGATTTCGTCAACAAAATTAGATCTGTAGATTCTGTATTTATTGACCGATGATTCTTTAATCGGTGTTACAAAAGTTGATAGGATTTCTGACGTTTCCGAGTCATCTTGACTTTTGTCACTTGCATTTCCTACGACTTCCGATAGGCTCAATATGTCGTCATCTATTCTAACGCCTATACTAGGATGTATAGTTATAGTAACACGTAAACCAGTTACAATAAAAAGTTACCAATTTTTTAACATTTTAAATAATATTAAATTAATAATAATTATAATTGGTACATACATTTTAAAAGTTTTCCTATTCAGTATTTTCAGTAGAAACCTTAGAACAATAAATGGGCACGGTAGGACAAATGGAAATTGATTGCTGGTTTTTACTGAATGATCGAAATACTTAAAAGTATTAGAGTCTTCAACAATGCCCGTAGGTTTCCCACGGGATAAGGTAAAATAAGAAATTTAATGGAAATTGTACTTTTAGTGACTCTTTTAACAACTTATTTCTCAGTTTAATCAAATACGTCAGTGCCACTGTTTCGGAGTTATTGGTCACGTGTAATACGAATATTGTTGAAAACTCTGTATTACAGTGAGGACCAAAAGTTAATTTTATGACATGAAAATGGCAGCCGAAATTTTTCAAATAACCAATGGGCACCGTTGGTCTTCAGTGTATAACTAATTTAGGACTGGTTTTTTACCTTCTGTTTGTAATTCTTCTTCTGTAACTGTCGACTGAGGATCTGTAAATTCTTGTTTTTCTATTTCGTTTTCTTTTTCAGATTTTCTAGTTTCTTCACTTTTATAGGATGCCGTTTGTTCAAACTCTTCTGGAATTTCTTCTGGAATTTCTTTTGGAATATTTTCTTTAACTTCTACTCTTGATATCTCTTTCTCAATCTTTTCCGATAATTCTTCAGCCATTTCTTCGTCAATTTTTTCCAATGGCGCTTCTTCTGATATTTCTTCTTCAATTTTTTCTGGCGCTACTTCGGCAATTTCTTCTTCAATTTTTATCGGCGATACTTCTCTTATAACATCTTCAGATTTTTCTTCGTCTTTAACTAAAAGTATAAATAATAAAAGTAGGTACAAGTAAATAAAATTTTAGGTTCAATTTATTGTTGGGAGACCTTATCAATAACAGTTTAGTAGAACATAGCTTTAGCCATTAGATCATAATAAATTAACCCATAGTTTGCTGAAAGAATATTGTTGAGAAAGTGAACTCAACAAATATTTTATGTTTACGTGTTGGTAGTCTGTAAGTAAAGAATAGGTATTTTAGTTTTGTTATGTTAGAAACAGTTTTTAGAAAAAGAAGGATGTAACGGTTGGTGTACGTCGCATGTACGTTGTTCGTAAAAATAAAAGTATTAAAAGTAAAATGTATTGCATTTATTCCTCTTCTGGTTACTACAATACCTAAAGATTCAACAGGTTATGGGCCCATGACCAAAGAGAATAATTTGCAAGTAAAAAAAGTGTTATGTAAAAACAGTAAACTGTGGTAAAGCAGGCTATAATAAAGGCGGTAAAGCTTGATATAAAAACGATAAAGAAAATGGAGAATATTTTATTAAATACAGCTGGAACGTCAGAATCCGGTGGGAACCTAAAACTGGAAGGGGCATCAAATTGGTCTTCATGGAAATTTCAAGTGAATGTCATCTTAAAAGCACTTTAAATTCATGATATCTTAGATGGAACCCAAATTAAACCACTACAGAATCCGACTAGATCTCTATGGGTAAAAAATGATGCAAAAGCTCAAAGTGTCTTGGTAACTGGACTATCTGAAAAAGTAATACTGCAAATAATGATATGTGAAACATTAAAAGCAATGTGGGAAAAATTGCACACAGTTTATGAACAAAAATCCATTGCATTTACTGCAACAAAAATTATGTGGTTTACAATACAATCCAAGAGATGATATAGCTACATTTCCAGCAAGAATTAAAGAAAATGTTAGCCAGATCAAACAGTTAAATGGTGAAGTTCCTGATAAAATGGTATTAACAAAAATATTAATTTCCGTACCTGAAAATTATAAGCATTTTGTCTCTGTATGGGAATCTGTCCCATCAAATAAACAAGAATTAGCAGAGTTAACAGCTAGACTTCTCGTTGAAGAACAGAGGGTTAATAATAGACAAGAAGTCACTGCTCTAGTGGCAAATCAGAGATTTGAAAACAGAAAATGTTTCAAGTGCGGTAAAATAGGCCACTATAAAAACCAGTGTCGTGTCAAAAATGAATTTTGAGAAAATTGTAAAAAAGACGGACATTCTAGAAATAATTGCTGATTTTTAAATAAAAAAAGTGACAATGACTTTGAAAATGTTAGTAATGCTTTTTCTGCCAACAGTATAATGTTTTAAGGACAATCCAAAATTAAAGATGGGATCGTTGATAGTGGTGCATCTGAGCATATGTGTCACAACAAATATGTTCTTTGAATATACAGAGATATAACCTAAAGACATTATGATTGGAGATGGGACAATAATACAAGCCATAGGAGAAGGAACTATAAAACTAGAAGTAAATAATGGAATGCGATGGATTGAAACAAGTATAAATAATGTGTTATATGTACCAAAAATGACTGCAAATTTATTTTCTGTAAGTGCAGCTGTTGCAAAAGGATACATTGTCAATATGAATTATGAGCAGTGTAGTTTTATAATAAAAACAATAAAGTAAGTGACAATTGTGGAAGCAGCTAGAACAATGTTGTTGGAAAATAATTTTGATAAAAAATTATGGGCAGAAGCTGCAAATACAGCAGTTTTCGTTTTAAATAGAACTGGTAAAAGCAGTGTTAAAAATAAAACTCCATTTGAAATTTGGTTCAATAAAGATATTTATGATATACAACAGTTAGATATTTTCGGATCAGAGATAGCTGCACACATTCTAGATCAGAAAAGGCTAAAATGGGATCCTAAGTCAGAAATAGGTGTGTTTTGTTGGCTATGGAGGGGAAACAAAGGGTTATAGAATTTACTTTCCTCAAAAAAATATAGTCAAAATTAAACGTGACATTAGTTTCATCACTAATAGTTCAAAAGTGAAAGAAAATATTTTATTTCAAGAAAATAATATAGATCTTCCTGAATTTGAAAATAAAGAAAAGCACACACGTTAACAAATTGAAGAACAACCAATACAAAATAATAGAGATGAAGATATTCAACAAAATGAGCCAGAAGAAGTAGAAATTGTAGAAAATAATGAGAATGTAATAGAAAATAAAAGAATAAGGAAGCAACGAAGATGGCTTGAAGATTTCGAAACAATTTTTGAGGAAGATGATAGTGAAATGAGTTTTTTATCTGTTCAAAATGAACCAATGACATATCAAGAAGCAATGAGAAGAGAAGATAGTAAAAATCAGCAATAGAGAAGGAACTAAAAACGTTAAAAGAGAATAATATATGGATGGAAGTGACAGAAATTCCTACAGATGTTCAAATTGTAAGCAGCAAATGGGTTTTTAAAATAAAAAATGATATGAATGGAGGCAAGCAATATAAAGCAAGATTGGTTTTGAGCAGACTGATTGCGATCAACAAATTTATGCTCCTGTAGCAAGACTTACTACTTTCAGGTTACGACGACGACGACGACGACGACCACGACAACAACAACTTTTTGTTTATTTTACATTTAAATAGTAAAGGAAGCGAATGTACTTGCCGTATATACGAGACTATACTTTATTAGTGAAAATACCAATACCCTCTACAGATAAATGCCAAATTTGTATATTCTGGTGAAAAATCCTCCCTAATATGCACAGTAACACATTTTTCGAAAAATACAAAATTTTCCAAAATTTACATAAAAAACGTACCTATCTGTATCCGTAACGTGTGGATGGTGAGTTTTATTTATGCTCCCTAGCTCGTGAGCCAGCTTACACATTTAATGTAGTTGACAACGTCGCCAAGAAGTGCTTCTCTTATATCGGCCGGTGTTAGCCGATACTCGCCGAACACAAATCTCCTAATAAATGAGAGTGTCGAGCAATCATAGAGGATATGCTCGATGGTCTCAACTTCTTGTTTGCACCCTCTGCAAAATGCGGATTCTGACAGCCCCATGATATGGAGATACTTCCGTACTTGGCAATGACCAGTCAGAATGCCTGTGACTGGGCGTAGATTTTGTCTAATCATAATCAAATATTTGTTTGCTGCAGTGTTGTCAGGATAACTTAAAAGCTCTCTGGTAACTCTGCAGTTTCTTGTTTCATCCCATCTTTCCTTGAATTTCACAAGGGAATGTTCTTTAATTAGGTCTGTCACTACCGATTTTGTCAGGCCAATAGAAGGGCCAGTTTCAAAAAGTATTTGGTTGGCTGCTTTCTTGGCCAGTGAATCAGCAAGATGTGGCGTGACCTTTGATCCATCTTAAGGTGACCACGTTGTTGATGGATAGTTCGGCCAAAACTTCGTGACATTTTTAGTACTAACCCTGAATAAATTCGTGGTCTGTTCAGGGTGAGTAGTGCTTGTCTGCTATCTGTATAGATAAGCATGTTTTTTCCAGTAATATTTTTTGTGGTGATTTCTTTTGAACTTCACTGGCAATCGACGTACCTATATTCATCTTTTACTCATATTTCTAATTTATCTCCCTCTTTTTATTTTCACACCTATTTTAACCTTTGTTCTGTCAAATAATTTGAAAAAGCAAGATTTCTTTGAAGTTTCATCAATGCATGACCTATAAAACCCCTTGTAATAACTTTATTTTACCTGATTCTACAACTGATTCAACATCTGGTTCCGCAACAGGATCTTCCTCAACCAATTTCTCTGAATTATGTGTACTAACTTCACGTTCTTCCTCTTTTGATAGAGTGTCTTCCATGATTGGTTCTGAAATTGGTTCTGAAATTAAAATTGTGCTTGTTTTTGTAGGTTCTATTATTTGTTCTTCGGAAGATAAACTAGGCGATATGTTAGTCAAATTCTCGCTTGAAACGGATTTTGGTTCGGGAGATTCAGACTCTGTTTCGGGAGGTTCGGATATTGATTCCGGAGTTTCAGATTTTTCAGATATCGAAGCTTCGTAATCTAAAATTAAGAAAAAAAAATGAAACATCGGTATTTTCATAGGTAGTAATTTAGATTAGATCAGATTTTTTCTTTGTCTTCATCCACAGTGACCTTTTTAGTTCTACATTGGAAATCCGCTTTAATTTTTTCACTAGATCATCACAAAACCATGACAACGTCCTCTACATGTATTCTTTCGGTATCTTATATATCAGCTCTTTGAGTCCACCGTTCCTCAAACTTTGGCGATCCCACAAAAACTAAACAAGTTATTTTTGAAATTAAGTTAACAGTGCCATGTCATGTTTAACAGTTTTTAGTTTGATCAACTAATTGAACAATGGTTTGATGAATGAATAGTCTGTTTTAATACAGAAAAGTACAGTAATAATGTTGTTTTACTTTTTTTGCATAGTTTGGGCAAGACCTGATGATATCATTTTTTAAAATATATTCTAACTTCTAATAATAAGTATATTAGTTTTTTTTAAGACAATTAATATTGAATTAGCGAATAATCTAATAGTAATTTATAGCTTTTTATTAAAATTATTTCCATTTTTCTTACCCACGGCGTAGGTTTCTTCACTGACTCCAATAGGCACGTCTGCAGAAGATATCACGCTAGATACAATTTCTGTCGTTTGAGACGTTTTACTTTCAGTTCCTGAGGATTCAGTTTGGGATGCAACATCTGTAGCACTTTCAGGGGCGACAGGCAATTCTTGCCTAGGCTTTGAAGTAAAAAAGTTTAGTGTTTAGTTTCATTGAGATATAAAATTTTACTTACTGGATAGTCATTACAATTAGGTAGTGCGAAGCCCATATTAATTAACATTTTAAGACCGACTAATATACTTTCGTCTACGGTGGGACCCAGGATTCTGCTGTAATAGTCTGGACCGTTACATATTCCATTGTATATAACTGTTCCTCGACTTGTGTGAACTTCTAAGCTGCTAGAGATGCTTTTTATAGGTTCCAAGTCTGAAAAATTATTTAATGCTCGAAAAAAAATCTGATGTGTCTAACATATGACTTTCCTGTCTAGTTATTACAGGTTTTTTCGGTTATTTTGTACAACCTATTCTGTCACCCTGTAAATATTTAGAGGATGAACTAAATATATACATTTTCCACATACATCTTACTAGAAACATTTTTTATTTATATTCATTGCCAACGAAAAATTAAAATTTTACACTTTTCCTCAAATTTTTCCATTACGGTCCATTTTAGAAAAATCATGTATAAAACAAAAATTATAGAGATCGATATTGCAAACAACTTTTAGCTTAACAATTTTCTAAAAAATAGAATTTTGCACTTTTGTCAAATTTCTCGAATACGGCCCATTTTAGGAAAATATTGTACCTATATGACAAACATTATAGAGAATAATATTAGAAGAAACTTTAATTTGGTGGTATAGTTAAAAAGTACTCTCCTTCTTAAAGCCAAAAATGTAAGTTATGTAAAGAAAAGGGCGTCTTCCCAATATTTACCCAATCTTTTTTTTAGATGTTTTAAAAAGATAATTCTTTAATTTATAAAAATGGGATAATGAATATTGAATATTTTTTACATTTACCTGTTACTTTCCTATCATATTGAGATCGCAATCTCGAGTCAGATGCTGATCTTGATCTCGAAGTCGAATAGGTTCCAGACTGAGTTGAAGATCGATCTGAAGACCGTGATGATCGTGACCTTTGTTTAATTTTATTCATGTTTCCAAAAGAAGTACGAAATATTTGTTTTTAATAATTCCGCATTAGCTTATTTTAATTTTGCACGATAATTTTATGGTTTAAAAATGATATTAGAGTTTCAGAAACTACTGCAACCATGCATGAAGATGTCATATTGACAGTTAAACATGTAAAGCAAGGTTGAAGGTTGAGTAAAGAATTAGGGCTGATTTTTTGCGTTATTTAAATATTTGTCCTAGCCAATAAAATTAATTTGATTTATAGTTAAAAACAAGTGTGTTTTTGAACGATTTTAAAGGGTAGGTATATATAATTCGTGTAAAAGGAACCATAAAGATGTTTCTTAATTTTATATAAATAAAAATTTTCCTTGGTTTCATCGGTCAAATGTTTTTTATTTTTATTAATAAAAATAAAAACATTTGACCGATAAAACCAAGGAAAATTTTTATTTACATTAAATTCTGCTACGGTCAGGCAGGAAATTATCCTTATTCAAAAGTTACTTAATGTTGTCACAATGTTGTTTTATCACTCTAATTTCCTAAAACGAATATTTTATGAACCTTTTACATGTTCCTATACTATATATTATTATAATAAGATCAAGGAAAAAGTTAATTTTGAGTACACGTATTAGTAGGTCTTCTTTTTCCTATTTTCTACGCACATTGTTAAAGTCCACAGGCGTAACGTCAGAACATTTCAGACAAAAAAAATAACGGTAAGTTTGAAAAATATTATATTTACGAAGTTTGTAAAAATATTCCATTTAAATTATTTTTAACTCTTTTATCCTAGGCTTAGAATGGTGATGCTACGACGTAGATTTCACACTTTATTTTATCTCCCTCGGCTTTGCTTGCTGGGCTGTATATTCAGTAAAATTAGTATTTAAAATATAAGCAATAGTAAAACAATATGTAATATTAATTTCCGGCATCTCAAAAAGATTTTTATTTTAATTTAAAATTTTGGTTAACAGAATGCTAGGGTTTTAGTTTAATTTGGTGATCAATATATTTGTAGCTAGTTGTTTTGGTTTTATTGTTGCTAATAATAATTATTATTAATAAAGCAGTGGGGGTTGTTTTCATTGCCCCCGTTATTCCTAGGCAGGCAAGTCTTTGTGTCTTGCTTAGCCTCGTTATTGCTTTCCTTTGCTGTATCTTTGGCCACCACACCAAAGCTGCGTATGTTATTATCGGTCTCACCACCATGTTATAAAGCCAATATACCATGTCTGGTTTTAACCCCCATTTTTTTCAAAGGATCGCCTTGCCATCATTAACGAGCTTTCCGCTCTCCTTGTGGTTTTTTCTAGATCCTGGTTCCCCTTTAAGCTGGATACTTGCACCTCTTAGGTTCAAAGGCCCTAGTCCCTCCAATTTCCTCCTGCGGGTGAATGCAATTATGTCAGATTTGTTTGGTTTAATGTTTAGTCCTTCCGCCTCTGTCCATTTTGTTACTATATTTAGAGCCTCTTGCATTCGATCCACTACAAGGTTCCACAGGAGTGGAGACAGCACTCCACCCTGCGGCAATCCTCTCGCTACCCGTGCCGCTATTGTCTCTCCCATACGGGTTGTGTGTATAGTTCTCTCCCTTAACATAGAGTCGATCCAGGACACGCACGTGTCCTCGATTCCTCTGTGTTTGAGAGATCTAATGATCGATTCAACGGAGGTATTGTCAATTGCACCCTCAATATCCAAAAATGCGTCCAGCATTACCTCCTTTTTTTCCAGTGTGTTCTCCACCCCTTTTATTAATTGATGGAGAGCTGTTTCAGTTGATATTAATAAATGTAAAAATAAAATGTATTAATAAATGTAATAATAAATGCACTAATAAATGTATTAATAAATGTATTAATAAATGTAATAATAAATGTATTAATAAATGTATTAATGAATGTAATAATAAATGTATTAATAAATGTATTAATAAATGTATCAATAAATGTATTAATAAATGTATTAATAAATGTATTAATAAATGTATTAATAAATGTATTAATAAATGTATTAATAAATGTATTAATAAATGTATTAATAAATGCATTAATAAATAAATAATAAATCTATTAAAGGTCTTAATAAAGGTATTAAGGAAGGTATTAATGAAGGTATTAATAAATCGTGTAACAAAAGACTAAGAATTGGTCATCAATGCATCAATTTACTGCCAGATTCGCCGTATTTGCCGGATTTAATATAGTTAGACTTTCTCATCAGTCTTTTGATTATTTTATATCGGTAAGTATAGAAATATCTACTATTATTTTTCGAAATTATTTAATATGATTGTATTGTTAAAAGTTAAACAATATTAGCTAAGTAGACCAAACGAATAATATATTCAGGGTATTTCTTTTTCTACAATAATCAGCCAGTACTCTGCTCATGATAAACGATAAGAATAAAAATACAAATATGAGCCAGATAACCAGGTAAATTGCTACAAGCTAATTCGGACAACGTAAATTCCTCATATTCTATTTCTTAATTTATTAATGAATAATGAAATTAATGGACAGTATAAGAAATTCAAAGGAGATTGGTGAAAAGTAATCAAAATTGAGGAAAGCTCCGTCAAAATAAAAATTATGGTGGTTGAAAAGGATGTAGTCTTTAAATGTCGACTGGGATGTTATTCAGTTCTTTATAACAGTCCCAATTTCATAAAAAATAAAGCAGGTTTTAATATTTAAAGTATAAGTATACTTTAATCGTATACGTCTATCAATTAATCTCGCCTTTAAATATTAAAAGCCCCATAAATTTTTAGAGTAAAAAAATAATTGATACTGAGTTCCATAATTTTCAGCATTTTTGGGACTTTTTTATAGATTGTTTTTTACATTGCTTCTGTGACCAAATATTGTATTACAAGTTGGTTAAAAGTAAAATTAGTAACTTCAGCATTGCAATAACCTCAAAACAATACCTATGTCGTATTTGACAGAACTGATATAATTAACTTGTCATAAAAGAATAAAAAATGTCATTTCTATTCTCTTTCTTGATTTACGAGGTCACGTGCGATAATGCTAGGCATCTTTAGAGATTGTTCCATTTTTAGAAATTAAAGAGATATTTTATAAACATATTTTTCTGTTTTTCTTAATTTGCAAAATTCTCTGTAATATTTATTTACTTTAAGTCGTCCAATTGAGAAAAAAACATCAATCTAAATTAATATTTGCAGGCATGAATATGATGTAAAAAATATTTAAAAACGCTAAATGACTTTTTTACTTTTTATGACTTAACTATTTATAGCATTAATAGTAAAGTATTTGATATCCGTAAAAACTTTTAATTAGCCTTAATTTATTCAAATCTGCTTGTTTATTACATAACATTAATGTTATTTATAAGTTCCTTTATTACACCAAAATAATTTTTTAAGAACTCTGTTATTCAAAATAATATTTATTAGACATTTTAATTTCGACATATTATGGGAACATATCCTATTGTTAATTTTTTTAATAGATGAATTAGAAAGCTAATCTGATAGCTTTAATTAATTCATCCTAAACACAATGCTTGTTACAGTTTGATTTGCATTACATTTTAGGTCACTATACAATGTATCTACGAATTGTTTTTTAACATAAAATAACTTTTAGCAGAATTTTCTCTTTTTCGTATACATAGCAGAGCTGGGGAGTATTCGAAACACATAGGATTGGAATCCTTTTTGAGGATCCGCGAGCGGTATTTAAATACTTAAGAAAAAAAGGAACCGTGATCCGGATTTGCCAAGGAAATCCTTAAGGATTCGTATTCGAATCACCAATATTAGTATCGGATCCTTTTAGTGACCAAACTACGCCGCGCCGGCGCGAACGGTCGATTCACGTTTTGACTTTTCGCGAAGTGTAAACAGAAATAGATTGAGATTGAAGTGGGGATGCGCAAATTTTTAAAACATAGATGTTGACATCAAATAATACATCGAATCACATACTTTGATTTTCTTTTACTATACGGAGAATGGTCGCACTGCGCAGCTTTCTGAGTGCCTTTTAAAAGGAGATAGAAAACTCCGCCATTTTGATCCCTTATTACGTGTTGCCTACATCTTGGCGCAATATTTTTAATAGGTGCGTTTTAATCATCCGCTTCTGCTTCGGAATTGTCGGTTTTCTTGTTTTAATCTGATAGGTTAAAACGACTAAACCGACAATTCCGGAAGCAGAAGCGGATGATTAAAACGCACCTGATATTTTGCTTGCTGCTGTCAGTGTCAGTGAATATCATCGAATACAGACTATCGATGTTGTAAAAAAATCGGAAAAGATAATATCGATTTTTCTAAATATCGATGTTTGTTTTTCCATACATCGATGTGTCTGTAAACAGCGATGTTTTCCAAAAGCGTTCATTAAAGAGCAAAAAAACGGAATTCAAACCAAATTGAAACGTGACACTTAAGACAAAAAACCGAAAAAACATTGAAAAGAAAATCATCTATGTTAACTGAAAAATCGATGTTAACCAATAACATCGGATTAAAAAACATCGATGTTCAACATCGATAATCGAAATCTAAAAATCGATGTTTTTTAAACATTGATACATCGTGCGCATCCCTAGACTGAAGACCGATCGTTAATATTTGGAAGATAAACGTAACAGTCTTCAAATTAATGTCAAAGAAGGCAACAGAGCACCTAGTCAATTTTGAGTTGCAATCTATGCCATACTTTTAGGCTATTTTAAGGTTATTTTTATACCCTATTCAAAAATTTTAAGCTCCTCGTTTTTTGCAAAAATTAAGGTTTTCTGCTAGCTTCGAACGAAGCCAGCAGAGCACCTCGGTTTTTAAAAGCTTTTTTTAAAAATAACCACAGTGCACTTTTAGGCTATTTTTAGGCTATTTTTAGGCCCTTGAAATATTATGAAACTTTACTAAAAAATTGCTATTTATAAATAATACAGTGTGCTTTGTTGGAACAAAGTCAGCAGAGCACCTCGGTTTTTTAAAGCCTTTTTTCTAAAAAAAAAAACACACCGCATTTTTAGGCTCTTGAAATATTTTAAAACTTTACTAAAAATTGCTATTTTTAAATAATACATGGTGCTTTGTTGGAACAATGTTAGCAGAGCGCATTGGTTTATTTTTTCTGGAAACATCTACTTATGTCACATGTTTA